CGTTTACTATATTGTATCATTATCTCGAATCGTCATCATTCGTCATTGAATTATATAAATTTACTTGAACTGCCTTCAAGTTCCATTCTGGATGGTTCATTATACCAAGAGCAACAGTTGCATTTGCAAGTGCTTTTTGCAAGTCTTTGTATATTTGAACTCTGAGCTTGATGCCTGGGAACATGTCTTCGATGAGAGACATGAACAAGGGCTCGTCTTCATCTACTAATTTCGACAGATTCATGTCCCTGCAACATGTAAGAATGTAATTTGATTTCTATTGAAAAGTTCTGCAGACTCTGTAGTTGCAGGATTTTGTTTTACCTCAAAACTCTCATTAAAGTAGTTTCCTCAGAATCGGTGGGATTCGCTCGTTTCTGTGCACCGAGAGTTCGCAAGCAAGACAATATGTTTCTCAAGCCGAAATCATAATGCACTTGCTTGCTTAATTGTTCCTCGCATAATTTATACAACGTGAAGAACTTCCGTGCCAATAGAACGTTCTCTTTAAAACCACAAGCTGCCAATTTTACACGCATAATTATCTAAACGAACGTGCACTTATCAATGTAACAATAAACTTGCGTTTTATCATTATTTTAGACATTATTATGTCTAATACTTGTCTATCAGGAACCATCATGGAGACGCTTCTAAATTGTATCTTTAAATTTTCCGGCAATTCTTGGCGACCAGCGTAGCCAGGATTCATAGTGATGAAAATGCCAAGCTCGTAGCTTAATTGGTATATTTCACCGTCACTGTGTGGTATATATATATATATTTTTCCTCATTGTCAGTACGTTAAATGTAACACCAATAATTATTATTAGATAATAATTAATTAAAGATATTTTCAGATGATAAGAAAAAAAGAATCTTTTAGAAAATATTTTATAGAAAAAGCAATTGATTTTCAGAATAGTCCTTCAGAATATATACCTAAAAAGAAAATTTGTTTTCCTTTCCTTTCTTGCTGTAAGTACAATCGCTATCTGCTGAGCAGCGACGGACAAAACTGGCAAATCGATACGATTAAACTCGTCGAAGCAGCCCCAGGATCCGGACATGGCTAATCCTTTAAATATTCTGCCTAGACCGCGGAAATCCATTTGGTCGGAGCAATTAAATACCACCACGTATTTTCCAAGGGCCTTCCCCATATCCTTCGTGGTTTCTGTTTTACCAGTGCCGGCCGGCCCTGCTGGTGCACCTCCAAAGTTCATACCTGAGAATTCAATAAAACAATGGATAAAATTACCGTACACAACATACAAATACGTTCACGTAGGAGAAATATTTTTCTTCTTGCTCTAAACATAAAGACATTGGTTTCAAGTTCATATCTTTTTACAAAAGCAACTAGAAGGGAGAAACAAATGCATAATAACAATACATAGTGATCATAGCGTCTTACCCACGGCTTGAGCTAATGTTATGTAGCACCTATCAGTAAGGGGTGTAATGGCAAGTCGATCGGTGCAACCTAGAAACTCGTTCTGATAGACGAAATCTATATCCGTTACTTGTATAGGAACGTCTTCTGTTTCAGCGTCGTAATAATATCTACATTGCTTCAACCACTCGAAATCACCGACATTGCGAATTCTCATGCGGCACAGATCGTCGAATATATCTCTGGAAGGGAAGGATTCGTAAAAATTAATATTTACTTGCTAAAGAAAATCTTCATAGAATAAAATGATGATACAAGATTTTCTAACCTAAGCTAAAAACAAAGATAAAAAACAGATATCAACAAAGTTAGTTGTTTATATATATATATATATATATATATATATATA